TATATATATATGTATGTATATTATTTATTATATGTATGGTTTTACCCGTTGCAGTCGCCACTACGACAACCTCCCGCCGCCCTCTCAAACCACCGCCCGCACAGAACGCTACCTGGCCGTCTTGCCAGACAGGCACACTTCGTGACGTCACCAGCGTGACTTTCACCCCATCCGCTCTCGCGTTATTGACGCCCTGCCCCGTTGGCCGCCATCATCTTATGGTGGATTTCCTGTTAGGGCTATTAGGCCCCTGGCAGATATAGGAGCAACCGACATATGGAGTAGCACATTGTATATGGATAGTGATTGTAGGAGCACTTTATAATTTATATACTTATTGCGGTATTAGTATATCCCGCGCTGAAATATCTGAAATGTATTTCGTGCACTGACATCTCTGTAACGTGCCGTTTATATATCATATTTATACGTGATATAAATAAATTTCTAAATATATAAACTAGTGTATAGAAATATTCGATCGCGTGTATCAGTCTTTGTTTGTTTTTGTGAGTGTATGTGTGTATCTGTGTGTGTGTGCGTGTGTGTGTGTGTGTGTGTTTGTGTTTGTATATGTTTTTATGCATTGAAATACAAAAATAAATCATGTACGACGACTGCTTGTTTTGTTTCACGTATTTAGATACGTCAGGCAGTGGCAGCGTCATTTGTGGTAGAGATAGAAGGACACTGCTGTCGGTGTGTGTAATATTTCGTTTTTTCTCTTGTTGTCGTTCTTATTGTTGCTGTTTTTGTTGTTGTTGCTGTTGCTGCTGCTACTGCAGTTATTGTTGTTTTGGCCCATAGGAATTGTTCACTTTCGTAGAGATCATATGATCTCCGTTGTATGTAGTCGTCTGATATAGTCCTGCGAGGTTATCGCTAGGACAGGCACGCGAAGACGCCATAAGCATTTTCTCTCCCACGTTGTTGTTGTTGTTGCTGTTGTATAGTAGCCACCAAAACACTGCACACCAGCACATCTCCCCATGTATACGCGCCACCACTATCCATACCGTCGAAATAACCAAGCCCCCAGCACGATTTCTTGTTGTGGCCATTCTCGTGGCCATCGACAACGATCCTCGTTCATCGACGACGTACCACCAAGCTGTCACCCCCACTAATGCTCATTATCGTCCATTGATCCGATATTGATGGTAGTTTTTGTCGCCGTACTAATTAGCAATAGTAGAATTCTTTCTAGCACCACGAAGATTTCTTTAGAAGTAGTAACCAATCAATCAATCAACCAACCAACCTTCCCCATTCGCCATTGCGTCTTCGCACTCCAGTATCATCGGCCGTGTTCTCCATTTTCTGCACACACAACTCCGTTGGCCTTTTCCTGTTGTTGTTGTTGCTGCTGCTGCTGCTGCTGTTGTTGTTGTTGCTGCTGTTGTTGTTACTGTTCCTCCTATGCTCCTGATGCCTGTATTTCGGTCTCATTTTGGTTGGCCTTTTATTCTTCCTCTTGAGAATGTTGTAATCCTTTTTAGGTCTCATGTGATGTTCATAACGTTGTTTCCTCCTATGTGTTGCTGTGGCAATGGCCTGAGTTGTTTAACGTTAGCAGATGCTGTCGAAACGTCAAAAATAACTGCTCGTTCGTTACTAAGTTTTTGCTGTTCATTCGAGTAGGTTCATGGAGAAAGGTACGTCATGAGGAGGAGTCATTATTATGCCGATGACTCTTTAGTCGAGAACTGCAGAGATTGTAACGAATCGAAGCTAAATTCAACAGATGTCATTTTGCTACTGTTTGCTACACATTGTGTCTCACGTAGGTAGGCCTAGTTAACCGACAACTGACAGACTCTCATTCCCACCCGACGACAGGCTTTCCGTCCAACTCCGTCAATACTTTGCTTTGATGACTGAGTGACCACGACTACTGAGCTCAACTCAACTGGCTCTGCCGTTTTGTTGTCTATGGCTGCTGAGGAGTGGTCAGCTGGCTAACTGGCCGACGTGCTGCTAGTAAGCAACTGCGTCTATCGAGTGGGGGACGCTGTGAACGATTGTAGCGCGGGTCTTGTTGTGAAACTGCTGGTTTGTGTCGATCGCTCGCTCTGCCTAGCTGTCTGGTCTCGTAGTATCTGTAGCGATGGTGCTCCCGTGAGAGATGTCTGTGTCTGCCTTTGCCTCTACCTCGCTAGATTCGGTGGCAGGCGGCGACAACGCATCAGCAATGGCATCGCCATCTTGCCACTATAGCGGAACGCGGTGCTGGCCGGGTCTGCTACTCAACGATGGCGTCGCGGCACCATGGCCATGTCGACTATCTGTCTGTCTGTATCTGCTGCGTCACCGCCAGCCAGCCAGCAAGGTCCTACAAACAAAACAAACCGGAGAGCCGCTGTTGGGAAGTTGCTAGGTTTATTGCTGTTTCTGCTGTTAGTTCTGCAGCAGCTGTCGCGGCCGCTGTGAGCAGAAAAGTCCTTTTTGGCTCGAACGTATCTACCGAGCGCTGCCAGCAGCCAAGCGGCTGGAATGGATGCGATTTCTGTGGACGTGTGCTTGGTTAGCCACGATGCTTTTGTCTATACAGCAGTCTTCCGTAGGGATAGGTGTTTGTCTGTCAACAGGATACGTGAGCAAAGGGAGATAGCCAGGGAACTGGCCGCTGCGAGATACGTGATACATATCTAGGGTAGGCGGTGGGGGCGACGGGTGGGGAGTGGAAGCCCTATGAGAAATGATCGATTTGTTCATGACTGCGAGCCAGAAATATGCTGCTCGATTGTTATGTCGTCGTTAGCTGGTAAGCAGACGATGCACTACAACGATTCTGTACTTCTTTTCGAGTGTCCAGCACGACGATAAGGGTGATTGCGCTATCAATATTTGTATGTTTATATTTTATTGTTATTCTTATCACGGCTGGTAATGTTAACCATTAATAATTGTTATATTATTCCAGCCGATTGGCTAGGTGATAACATGGCAACCTTTGAAGTGGGATAAGCTAGAAAAAACAATCATACGAGAGACTGATCTTATTTTGACGCACTTAGAAAAACAAAAAAAAATGCAACGACATTTCAGTTTGAAGGAGCACACATCTCTGATATCCGTCTGTATGGTGATACTCTGATATGGCTATTAAAAAATGTGTTCATTTTACAGGGCTCCATTGAGTAACGTGTTCGAGAACGGAGCGTACGTTGCATCGTATTATGCTACGGTTATTGCAGTTCGTACCGTTATTACGCTAGTGAGATCGAAAAGGCTACAAATTAAAACGGAGGGAGCTTGACACCCTAACCAGTTAATTTCACTACTTGATATCGTCTGATAGCTTAAATCTGTGGAAAATTCACATAAGCCGAACTAAACGTCTCTCAATGTTGGTTTAATAAGCGAATGTTTAGTATATGTATTATAAATAACTTGTTGCTCGTCTGTTCCATTTGTTACTGTTGTTCTATGGCAATATTTATGATGATGATGGTGATGATGATGATCATGTCGGATCAGGGTGTGTACCTTTGCTGGCTGGGTCTTTCCTCGGAACCACTAGGGGGACTTCTTAAATCCCCCGATGACGGCGTCGCCACCATTGACATGATTTATTCCAGTCGTTCTTGACGTTCTTCCTGATTTTGTCGCTGCAAATTCGGCGACCCCTCAACTGTAACTCCAGTGACAATAACAGTAGATGGCCAAGCTTGCTCAAAGCCGTACTTCTTTCTTATGTTTAGTAGTGGTTCTTCCCACTGATAGTCCCGCTGTTGAATCAGCGTTATACTTCTTGGCGACGTTGTAGTAATTGTAGTTAAGGTAGACGCTTGATTAGCAAATGCCGTCGTACAACTGTACCGCCGCCATGTGGCGTGCTGCCTCATGAGCAACAGAGCCGACCTTAAATTGCTAGCAATATTCCGTACTCTATTGTGTCCTACTGAATGTACCTGCCGTCGATTGCCGCTGTCGCCTGACTACTTCTCGCGCCGTCTGTTACCACTGACTGCGTTTAACCGTCTAGCGACGCTCTGTCGTTTGCTTTTCCGTCCGCTCAGCTTGATGCCTGACTATCTGACCACATTTGCGACTGTCCCGTTTATTGTACCGTAGCTATACTATAGACTCTCTATAGCTACACGCTGGCTTGGGCTTTTGCTCTTTGCTTCGCCAACACTTCTTGTTTGCGGTGCGCGTGCTGCTACTGCTACGACTTTTACTATACTATAGCTAGTAGCGACTGGACTGCTTACCACCCTAATGATGGGCAGCGGCGAGGCTTATGTGATGCCGTGTCCAGCAGGTCAACTGGGCCAGTGATCGTGCACCGTCAGCGCAGCGATGGGCGGTGACTATTCATGTATTGTGCAGCATAACTGGGAGACAAGGGACCCCCACAGTCAAGTTAACCGCACGAACTACACAGCTTCCACGAGCAGGAACTAGTTCAACAGCCGACCAAATAACTTACGCTGAATACCTGGCAGGACTGTCTACGCGACAAGCACTCAATTTAGTATATTATCGTTTGTATATTAGTACTACATGAATAACCGACAATATAAAAGCACGTCAAAAAACAGCTCCTATTTTTCGAATATGGAAGAATCTGACTGATTAAAAGTATTATTACTATTGTTGTTAGTCAAAAGTATAAGGAGCGGAGTAATTATTCTTTAGAGTTAGAAAATAAAGTACATAAAATAACGATGTGCTGAAACTATAAACAATATGCGACACATATGTGTCTACAAAAAATCAACGTACGGGTTAGCCAGCCACGTCCTGTACAAATATAACTTAACGGTCTTAACGGACCAGCGAATCTAAATTGCTCTCAGTTAAAGGGACGCACGGATGTAACAAACAGCCAGGCAAAAATGGCTGCGTACGTAGCGAAAA